CTAATTAGTATTACCAGCCCCCCTAAGCTCTTAATCTCTCCTCCTCCTCCTCCTCCATAAATACCTCCTCTCCTCCGTCTCTGCAGCCTGTTGCATCCTCTCATCCATCACTTTGTCTCACAGCAGCAGATTATCGTTGATGCTCCTGCTCCTCCTCCTCCTGGGTGGTGTTCATCCCATCTGCATCAGGAGCTCATTAGCTTCTGCTAAGCTTCTGTTTACAGGAAGCTCTCGTCTATGAGTTTCTTCTTCTTCAGTCGTTTCTCAGCGCGTTCCTCACACAGAAAGGAATACGTGTATGTATCATACTGTAGGTTATATATATATTATTATACATACAATAGTATTTTATATATACATATACATTTCTTAGTATTCTTTTCTAGTTTATGTTGTTGGTTGACCTCGAGAATTATTCATTTAACAGCAATTATTTCTAATTACACAAACATAATACAGGAAACATACAACAATGTGTATAAGTGTTGCAGTACTGAAGAATACATAGTACTTTTAGTACTGAAGCCGGAGGTCTTCAGGTTTAACTTGAGTTACATAAGTTAAGTAATAAATATCATTAACGTTTAGCATCATAGATTTGAATAAATCTGTTATTTTTGTATTTGTACCTGACGACAGTAAAAACTAATAATTGCTCTTGCGTTTTTCTTCCTTCCTTCTTTTCTCAATTTGGATTGTCTTTTATTCTGAAACTCCAACAAACGACTTTCTACAGTGAAATCTGAACTTGTGTGTGTTGATGTGTAGCTCAGGTCCACGTTGCAGTATAATGTGTATTCACTGTGTGTGTGTGTTACTGACTGTCTCTCTGTGCTCTCCCCCCATGCAGTGTGAGCAGTGGTCGCAGACACACACACAACAACAAACCCCGCCCCTTCCTCCCGCACCGCGCCCCGCCCCCTCCCCTCGCCCCCTCACCAGAGCGACGCGAGTGTTGCATAGCGAGAAAAAACCGGACGGGTAAATATAAGCTCCTCCCATCCACTCACCTTGCCGTGCTGGCGAACACATCAAACGCACCTCGCCGTGGCTTCTTCATGTCCACCTGTCCTTCCTGTCGCATAACGACCCCCCCTGTCCTCTTCCTCCTCCCTCTTCCTCTTGCTCACTCGTTCAGCAGCATGCGCCCCCCCCCCCCGCCCACCATCACTGACCTCTGACCCCGTTCTTCATCTTCCTCCGCAATGTAATCAGTACATTTACTCCAGTACTTCATTTTATACTGATGCCCTTTCTACTGCATCACGTTTATCTGGGTGTACAAATACATGAAAGTGTAAAAGTACAGCTGAAACATAAAATAGTGTTTTTATAAATACAGCAGTTTGAATACGTCATACTGAACATTTCACTCTAATGGCTATTTAACGGTTTTCTATTCTAGTACTTTTTATAACAGGTTATTATTACTTTACTTGTCAAAGAACATCTTTACAGTGTGGCCTTCGCACTGTCGGGATATACGTGCTTTTACTGTTCCAGTGTATTAGTACTGTTAGTACTTCCATCCTCTCACCTGTAACACCACCTGCTGCTTCCTGGCCCCCTGGCTGTCATGTGATTGGCTGCCTGGCTGTCATGTGATCCCATGTTTCGTGCTCCCGGCGCTGTTTTACACTCATTCTGATGTGTGCATGTGAACATTTGAACTGTTTGCATCCTCAGGATGTGTTTTGTTGAACATGTGACATGTTCTTAAATTGTGTCTCAGGGGAACTTTATTATTTAATTTTGAATAGTTTGGTTTGTCGCCCCTCGTTTTTATTTAAATAGAAATAATTCTGATTTATTTTGAAGCGGTTCCAATGTATATTCCCCAAAACCTTGGCATTTTTAAAGAGATTCATTTATTATTTATTCATATTTCAATGAATAAAATTTGCAAACAAAATAACATTTAAATGCAAAAATTGAGGAAATATGTAAAATATTCTTCATACAGATCAAAGATGATTCACTGCTGATTAGATGTTAAAGATTTAAAAAAAATGAATGGAATAAAGACGATAAAATATATATTTCCTTCACCAATGTTCAGCAAACGAATGAGAGTTTGTTCATTTATTAGAAGAATAATTAGCCAGCTTTAATAATGTGATAAAGTTGAGCATCACGTGAAACTGAACAGAAAGAAGTGTTCTGAGTGGAGGAATCTGCGTCCTGATTGGCTGAGAGCCGACGTGTTCAACGCTCACACTGCTCTGTGATTGGCTGACAGCCCCTCCCCCCTCCCAGCTCTGGTATGCGCCGTGGAGCTGACACACCGGCGATGCTATCTCAACACTTTATCACGTCGGGTCTAAACTCCAACCTGCGTGCGTGCGTGTGCGTGCGTGTGTGTGTGCGTGTGTGTGCGTGTGCGTGCGTGTGCGTGCGTGTGCGCCAACAACAAACACACACATCCGTCAATCTGTAACCGGACTGAGGGATGGAAAACACAGGCAGAAAAATTACATATTTAGGGAGTTAATCTGTTATTAAATCTTTATGGACTTTATTATTTACGGGAAAGAGACAAGGAACATTTACATTATTTTTATATATGTAACTTATATATTTCTAAACATATAAAATGTAAGAACAGGCTGTAAATATTTAATAATTATGTCCATAATTATGTATTTTCAAATCCCCTAAACGTCTTTTGATTTATCAAACCTCAAAAATACTAATTTCACATTGCGTAAGATGAAAACAAACGTGTGAATAATCAACGTTCTGATCAGTTATAAAAAGATAGTTATTGGTATGTGTTGGTGAAACGCTTCTGCTTCGCCGTGGAAACTGAACTTAACGCTGACATCAACAGTTTGTGGAAAGGAGGAAGAAGCTCCCTCGAATTTCTCTTAATGCCGCTGAAGAAGACGAAGACGCCCCGGGATGTTTCTGCGTTTCAGTTTCACAAGAGAGTGATAACAAGTTAGGACAAAGTACCGCGGGGGGACGGGGGGGTAAACGGCAGCCGAGTGTGAGACGGTGGGGGAGGATGAGGGAGAGAGAATACCCATCAATCGGCCTCTGTCTCTCTCACTGTGTCTCTCTTTCCCTACTGTCTCTCTCCCTGCTGTCTCTCTCCCTGCTGTCTCTCTGTCTCTCTTTCCCTGCTGTCTCTCTCCCTGCTGTCTCTCTGTCTCTCTCCCTGCTGTCTCTCTGTCTCTCTTTCCCTGCTGTCTCTCTGTCTCTCTTTCCCTGCTGTCTCTTTCCCTGCTGTCTGTCTCTCTTTCCCTGCTGTCTCTCTGTCTCTCTTTCCCTGCTGTCTCTCTCCCTGCTGTCTGTCTCTCTTTCCCTGCTGTCTCTCTGTGTCTCTTTCCCTGCTGTCTCTCTGTCTCTCTCTCCCCACTGTCTCTCTCACCGTGTCTCTCCTGTCTCTGTCTCCTTTCACAAACATAGCAAATATTTGCTAATTAGCTTCTGATGCTAGCACAGCTGTTAATGGGGTCAGTGGTTCAAAGGTTGCTAAGCTAACCGGATGCTAACAGCAAGCCTCTGTAGTAGTTCCACCTCTTAAAGACGGTGATTGCGGTTGAACGTGGAGGCGTGGAAGAGTGTTGAGTGGAATCTGGTTTTTCCGGTGAGGCGTGAAGCCTGACGGGGAGGAAGAAGAGAGCGACAGTTAGGAGGTAATAAATAGCCAACATGTGGTCACTGGATCCTGTCTCTGCCCCCTCGCGCTCTGTCCACCTCCTCCATACAGGCCTCCGTCCCTCGCCTAGCGGAGGCTAAACACGGCCTGCTAGCTGAACGCACGCCTCGCTGTCACAGAGGGACATTAACAAATGCACACGGTTGGAAGATTAAAACAAGTTAAAAGCAGAATTTGGTGGATGTGTCCGGTGGGGATGTTTGTTCACGCCACTTGGCTCAAAGCAACGGCGTGCACCATGTTTGGCACAGAAGGATAAGATGCGAAGTATCATTTAAAACGACAATTTACATTTAACCTGCATTTCAGCCACTACAACGCTCTCATTAACCTGGCTAGCATGGTTAAGCTAACAAAAGAAGGCTGACTCACTGCCACTCAACACATTTGACAGACATCATTTGATTAACAACTTTGCACGAAATTGCAGTTAACATTTGAAGTTTGCGTCTATGCTAACAGTAAAAATGCTAGTGCTGGACTAGACCTGTTAATGTCCAGCTAACTAGCGGCGCATTAGCCCATCGTTCTTAACCCTGGGCAAACCTGGGTTATTTTGATAATTGTAATGTTAATGTGTTGTAGCCACGATGCTAGCTAGTGGAAATAGGCTGCTAAACGTGCTAAGTAGCTCCCACTTACACCAGGGAGCAGCGTCTGCTGCTAACACATGCTAGAACCTCAGGTCTCCTCCCTTTCTTCTCCTTGTTTGGGGAGTTTTTCCTGTGCAGATGTGAGGGTTTCGGGTCCGAGGATGTCGCATGTCTACGGACTGTAAAGCCTCCTGAGGCTAATTTGTGATTTGCGATTTTGGTCTATAAAAAAAAAATGAATAGAAGCTTAGTAACTTAATTAATTCATACTATTGAGCCGGTAAAAATATAAAAAGATCCAAAAGCTGATGCTTTTTTTACTCAACAACAGACGTGAAGCTGCAATCAGGGTTTCATGTCGCAGCTGCCCGTCAGATGAGAGCAGGATTTATGGGGGTCAGGTGACTAAGAACTCTTCCTCCTCCTCCTCCTCCGGTGATGACTGACTGTCACCGGGTTACATCTTCACACAGGTGCCACACTCACAGTCGGAGGTCGTGAAATCACTGACCTCACGGTGACTTAGCGAGAAACGAAATGGGAAACTAAGCGGCCTCAGCTGGCTCCTCGCTTCACGCCATGGACTGACCGGGCCGGCCGTCTACAGACAGCGATGTCATCGGTCCGCTGGCTGTTCTTTGGTGCTTTTCACCTCGGACTGCTGATGTGTGCAAAGCAAACGCACAAAGCTGCTGAATTTTCATTATATGCAAATATAGTAGGGATACTAAAACATCATTGATTTGACCAAAATAATGAGTTGAGCAATGTCAGACTAAACATGTATTTAAAAAACTGGTATTTGAACACATTGTTCTGCCGTGACACATTTTCACATCTTAAATGGAAAAACTCGACTGCGACCTTTGTTCATCATTTCAGTTTCTCTCTTCAGAAGCTTTTCGGCTTCTCTCCTCCTTTTTTTCTTCTTCTTTGAATGAGAAGGAATGTCACACACCCTCTCACACACACACGCACACACACACGCACATATGCACGCACACACACACACACACACACACGCACACCTCTCTGAGCTGGAGGAGGAAGTGGTCAGCTCTGGAGAGCGTCTTCCTGTGGGGGCTGCCAAACAGGAAACAGTAATTACCCCTTCTCCTCCTCCTCCCCATCCTGCTCCTCCTTCTCCTCCTCCCCATCCTGCTCCTCCTGCTTCTCCTTCACCTCCTCTCCAACCATAGATCTATTTTTACTCTCCTCATTTACTTAGATTCTATCGTCTCCGTTCTAGGAGGTGAGAGGATCTTAAACGCTTTATTTCGTCCAGAGTTCAGCTGTGTTCTCCTAAAGGTCAAAGGTCAAAAAACCTGCATTAAAACGTGAAGGAGTAATATGTAATGTGTTAAATCATTATTTTGTTTTTGACCCATTCATAGTTCATTCATGCTCATAATTTCTGTTCAGTGGTTAATAAACAAGGTTATAAAGTTCTGTAGTAAAAAACTTATTAAATCATTAACAACGCAATTTTTCCATGTTTTTTGATTTTTTTTAAATTGGGAGAAGAATTTAAGTATTTACAAAGTGATAATTTTCTTAATTTCTTCCACAAACTATATTTTTTACCCTTTTTCCCAAATTTGCTTTCATTTTCTCTTCACTTTATGATTTCATAACGTGTGGTTGGTAAACATTAAATGTCTGTGACACCAGACACTGGAGCTTCTGTGCTATTCTGAGTCGGCCTTCAGCTCCCACCAGCCTCCAAAGGGAAAACGGCACGTTTAAGGGCCCTTAGTTGGTAGAAGATGATTTAAGGCCTCATAGGATTCCAATCACAAGGTCATGAATCCATCTTCAATGTTCTTGAAGTTCTGCTTGCTTCATTATTCTTGTGGAATGTTTGAACTGATGACGTGCAGCGAGTCACACAAGTCCTTCATTTGTGAAGTAACGCTGGTGCCGTTTGTTCACATCTCAGCAGCCATGGAGAGCTGCACCGAGGAGCAGCAGCGGGAGGAGGTGAAAGTAGAGGAGTCGGAGGAGAAGACGCACAATGACCTCAAAGGTACGCCCCTGACCTCATTCAGAGTGCGACGTGTTTTAGCGTTACGGCGTTACCTGACTCTCGTTTTCCCGACGTAGCGATCAACAGAGTGATGGAGGAGGAGGAGGCGAGCGGAGGGCAGACGCCACAGAACGGAGAGCGAGGAGGAATCATGGGAGCAGATGGAGGAGGAGACTTGTCCTCCATCAACGCCATGATGTCAGCTGTGATGTCAGCGGCGGGGACCATCAACGGCGGAGGAGACGGAGGAAGAGAGAGCGGAGTCACCTCGGCCAACTCCTCCGCCGGGCCGTCGCCCAGGTGAGCGTTAACGCCGCCTGCTTTCTAGGAGTGACGGTGGAAACTGTTGCCACGGCGATGCTTGACTTTCTTCTCTCGCCCCAAAGTCCCTCGCCAACCAAGTCGCTCACTGGGGCCATGAGAGCTCCGCCCGGCCGCAGCGCCCGACGCACACAGGTACACAAACGCACACACACGTATTCTTTGATTCTGATGTCCACAACTCACCTTCCTCTCCTCATCTCCTCTCCTCGTGTTTCCTTTTCCTTGTCTCCTCTAACCTCTCCTGTTTCCTCCTCTACTTGTTTTCTCTCCATGTCTCCTTTCTTCGTCCTCTCTTTGTTTCGCTTCCTAGTCCCCTCTCCACTCGCTTACTTGCCAGATCACTGTGGTTCATTTCTTCTCTCCCATAATGCATTGCAGCATTCCACACTGCATCATCACTTCCTGTGACTGAAACAGGAAAAAGGGGAAGTGCTGTTTCCGCGTGTGTGTGAGCGTGTGTGTGAGCGTGTGTGTGTGTGTGAGCGTGTGTGTGCGTAAGTGTGTGTGTGTGTGTGTGTGTGTGTGTGTGTGTGCGTGTGTGTGTGTGTGCGTGTGTGTGTGCGTAAGTGTGTGTGTGTGTGTGTGCGTGTGTGTGTGCGTAAGTGTGTGTGTGTGTGTGTGTGTGTGTGTGTGTGCGGTCTTCAGAGACTCTGATAGTTTCATCTTCAGGTCAAACTGAGGCTGTTTATTGTCAACAAATCCCATAAAAACACGTCCACGTCCATCTCACGTCCTGTCTCTGTCCCTCTCTTATCACGGTCTAGTTTCCTGTCCTCTGAATGTGTGTTTTGTTTTTTAGGACACCAAAGACGAAAGCTCAGCTTTTATTTGTCCGCTCTGTGACAAGGACTGTCAAACACAGCACCAGCTCACCATGCACATCAGACAGGTAAATACTCACAGTACTACTACTAGTACTGCGTGTGTGGAGACGCTAAAAAGAACCGTAAGACGTCTGTGCTTCTGCAGTTTCATCAGCTATGCAGAAGACACAAATTTGACATTTACTGCCTAAATAAGTACTAAAAATACAACTAATGAAAGTACTTCTTTTGAAAGCACTCATTCTAATGCTCTGGCTTCTATATTCAACTACTGTTACTTGTTCGCGCTGCCGCATCTTCTCCCTTTAGATTGTGACTCGTACACAAAGTGTGATACTTAGCTGTTAGCTGTTAGCTCTATTATTTAATGATAATACTTCTGTTTTTATAGCGTTTTGAGACTCTTTACAAAGACGGTTATTTAACAGTTAGCTCAGTTATTGAGCCGGTAAAGATAGAGGCCTGTACTTGGCTGATAAAGTTCTAATGAGGACAGTGTGGAGCGTGTTTGACGTCCTGTCCTCACTGCAGCACAACGCTGACGCCGGAGCGACGGACCACTCCTGCAGCATCTGTGGGAAGTGCCTGAGCTCGGCCTCCTCTCTGGACCGACACATGCTGGTCCACAGCGGGGAGAGACCCTACAAGTGCAACGTCTGTGGGCAGACCTTCACCACCAACGGCAACATGCACAGGTACACGCACACAACACCCCCCCCCCGTGTGACCCCGGGCACAGGAAGCCAGCGTTTAACCCGCTCCGAGGTCTCCCATGATGGAACGCAAGCGGGTCCGCAGTGTGAGTGTGTGTGTGTGTGTGTGTGTGTGAGTGTGTGGGGGGGTTACACAGGAAGTGGGAAGATGACTTTAAACCATCCACACACTGAACAACGCCCAGTCCTTTATCAGTCAAGTCCAGCCTGTGTGCGTGTGTGTGTGCGTGTGCGTGTGCGTGTGTGTGTGCGTGCGTGTGTGTGTGCGTGTGCGTGTGCGTGTTGATGACATCACTGCTGTGGGAGGGAGCCACAGCTCGTGCTCATCTAATTGGTTGAACGAGAGCTTCCCACAGGTGTGTTTTGAGGCGTTAATGAGTGCAACGCGGCGCAGAGATAATCTGTGAGGTTGTTTGCGTCGTCGTCCGTCTCGTCACCGTCTCGTCTCTGGTGGAATGAGGACGGGTGGGCAGGACGGACCAGTTATCTTTCTGTTCAGCGGACAGAACTCTCCCGTCTGTTGAAAGACGTAGTTGATTGAAACTGAGAGACTTCTACATTTTATCATTTCATACTTAATCTTTATGATGTAGATGCGTTCTTTTTTTAGTTCATCTCTATTTAATGTATCGCTTTTATTGTGTAGCACTTTAAACGCTTGGGTCATATTGTGGTTTTATGAAGAATATTCTCAGATAGGTGGATGTAAATAATGATAATACTTTAGTTTTTTATAGCATTTTTCTTGGTATCCAGAGAAGCTTTACAAAGACAGACAAAAGAAACAAACTGAATATGTAGTTGAGTCTAAATCTAATTAGATTATTGTGATTTATTATTATTGATAATATATTATCTTAAATTATGACTCATGCTTTTTGTTTTTCAATTTAATTTTTCATTATTATTGTGATTGACATTATTATAATTATTTCATCTTCTATTATCATTATATATTATTATCCTTCTATATTTTTCTTATCATAGAAGGAATAAAAAATATATATTCTCAGTTATTATTTGCAATGTTATTCCTTTTAATACGTTGTCTGATTAATTATAATTAATAAATAAAAAGAGATAAAAACAATGTTATGAACATAATGGAATTGTAAAATTAATGCGCTTTCTAAATGACTGCAAACTGCAACAATGCTGTTTTTTATTTCTGTTCGATAGAATAAGTGGACTTTTTAAGAAAACACTTATTTTTTTTGTCCATTTTTTCAGACTCTAAAAACAAAAGTCTGTCTGAGGTGAAATCACTCGATCAATATCTGTATTGATCGTCACATTAAAAGCTCTTGATAAGGCGTCGTCTCACGAGTCGGCCTCTCGGCCTCCCGGCGGCTCTGTTGTGAGGGCCGGCTGGGCCCGGTTGCCATGGCGAGCCATCCCATTAGCCTATTATGGGCTGGCAGCGGTGTGCCTCGCTGTGATTGGCTCCCCGGTGCCGCCGGTGAGGAGGGAGGATGGTGGCTCAACGGCGCCGTCTGTGGTGATGCGGAGGAACTGCAAGGCCAGACGGGGAGCCACTGGTACTGTGACTGATAGTACTGCTCACAGTACGGTCCTGCATTACTAAAGACCCCACTGACTCACAACCTCATCGGCCTTATTTTGGACCTACGTGTTGAATATTCCTAAAAATGTAAAATGCTAAATAGTACTAGTACTATTTTAACAAGTAATTCTGCTACAACAACCACTACTACTGGCTGTACTTATACTGCTGCGCTGCATGGCTGCTTGTATTAGTAGTACTGCTGGTACTACTAATACTTCTGTTGAGGTCAAAGTGTATTTAGAACTTTTTGCAGATTGTTCTCATGTGAGATAAATATTCTTTGCAGACAGTAATGAATCTATGAGTAGTAGTATTTTAAATAAACGTATATTTCGTGTGTGTGCGTGTGTGTGCGCGTGTGTGTGTGTGCGTGTGTGTGTGCGTGTGCGTGTGTGTGTGCGTGTGTGTGCGTGCACTCATATTCTGAGTTGAGCAGCTGTTGGCGACTCAGTCGTCACACAGCAGGTTTGTGTCTCTGCTGACTCGCCGTGTTTCCTGCTCTCTGATTGGTCGGTTCAGGTGGTCACAGTACAGTTTAGGCCCAGAAGACTTTGCCCTCTCACTCTGTCGTTGTCCCGCCTCGTCCTCCTTCTCTGACCTGATTGGTTAATACACATTTTTTTGTCAGATGGTCTCAGATCTGCTGACTGTGTCAGGACCTCTTATGGGCGTCCAGCCTGCTGCCTGTTGGGTCCTAATAATAGATGATATCATCAGTCCCACCTCCTATCTGCCCTCTCTCCTCCTTCCCTTGTTTCCTCTCCCCTTGCTTCCTCTCCTCTTCCACTCACATCCTCTCCCTTGCTCTCATCTCCTTCTCTGCTGGGTTTTATTTCTCTTTCTCTCCCCTCTTGTCCTTCATTCCCTTCCTCCTTTCCAGTGTTTCCCTGCCATTATAACACAGGACCCCCCCCCCTCCCCCCCCGAAGTAGTAAACCTCTCCTTGACTGAGCTTTGAAGAAAGTAAAATGTTTCAAAAAGTATAACTGGTATTTGGATGTTGAGGAGTACCACAACCTCTGACCTTTGACCCCCTGACCCCCCCACCCAGACACATGAAGATCCATGAAAAGGACCCGGCCAGCGGCCTGCTCCCCCTCAGCCCCCCGTCCCCCAACAAGCGCCGCCGTCCGTCCGTCAAGAGGAGGCAGAGTCCAGAGGAGGAGATGGGGGAGGAGCCTCCCAGCAAGAAGGTAGAGACCCGCCCACATCTGCTGCTGCCGCGGCGGCTGCGCAGACAGTGGTGTTAATGTGTGTGTGTGTGTGTGTGTGTGTGTGTGTGTGTGAGGTGGTGGAGGAGGCGACCGCGGTGGAGGCCGTGGCTGGAGTCCGAGGAGTCGAGGAGGAGCTGCTGCCGTGTCCCATATGCTTCAAGACGTGCAACTCCAGGCTGGAGCTGGACACACACATGGACACACACCCCGACACGGCACTGAGGTACTAAACGTATCAACCTTAACACAATCATATTATCTTAGAAAAACACTGAAGTACTCGAAGTACATTATACTCATAATACCTATGATCACATCACATGTCATTTATCTGACGCTTTTATTCAAAGCGACTTACAATAAGAACATTTCAACTATAAGGAAACAAACTCAGAAGAACAAGAAAGTGTGATTTCATCAAATAAGCCGATGTACAACTTGCTGTAGATAAGAACCGTTATAAGTCCAATGTAAGTGCTGCAGGTAGTTAGTGTGTTAGTGGAGGTAGAGTCTGAAGAGGTGTGTCTTTAGTCTGAAGATGTGAAGCTCTCTGTGGTCCTGATGTCTTCAGAGACCTCCTTCCACCATTTAGGAGCAGGACAGCAGAGAGTGGAGATCTAGTGGAGTGTTTTGCTCTCAGTGAGGAGGAACAAGGAGGGTTAACTCTTCTCCTTCAGAGATTTGGGAAAACAGCCAGATAACAGATGATTGTTGGTGAGACGGGTGAGGAAAGGAAGAAGGTCAGGAGCGATAGATTGTAGAAGATGTGATGGAATGGGGTCAAAGGGCAGGTGGTGACGGGCAGAGGTTACTAGGGTGAGAACTTGGTTAGGAGACGGGGGGGGGAGGAGGAGGGAAGTGAGCGTATGAAGGGTGGAGGAGGGAAGTGAGCGTATGAAGGGTGGAGGGTGGAGGAGGGAAGTGAGCGTATGAAGGGTGGAGGGTGGAGGAGGGAAGTGAGCGTATGAAGGGTGAAGGAGGGAAGTGAGCGTATGAAGGGAAGTGAGCGTATGAAGGGTGGAGGAGGGAAGTGAGCGTATGAAGGGTGGAGGGTGGAGGAGGACTGGGGGGTTTGAGCAGGTTGGAGGAGCAAAAGAAGAACTTGAGATGGAGGAGGTGAATAAAGAGGGAGGAGGTGATGGAGTGAAGCTCAGTTTAAAGAGGACAACGTGATAAGTCACAGAAGAAGAAGAGGGTTCACGCGCTCGGCTGCTCCCCGTTTCCATGACAACACCCCCCCCCCCCCCCCCCTCAAAAGAGACGCAGTCCGTCTCCATGGCAACTAAACTCCCTCTGAAGATTGAAATAAAGGTTTGTCGGTTGGGGATAAAACTAAGAACAATTCTAGGAGGACGGCAGCAGGACGAGATGAGCTCGACGTGGAAGAAGACGAGGAGATTTAGCTGTAAATCCTCACTAATCAGGCGGTAAGAGGATCTGAGGGAGGGAGAAGCTAATGCTAACTAGTTAGCATAGCTCAACACTGTTGAACCTCCGCGCGGTGTTTTCACTCCGGGGGAAGAGACGGTGCGTTCACACCTAAAGCGAAGTGGATTTCGGCCCAGCGGTTTTGTTTCGCTTCATTCGCGCCTGAAGGGGGCGGGGCTTATCTCCGTCACGTGTCTCCGTAGAGACACTTATCGTTTCCACCGCGACAATAAACCGCCACTATTTCTGCCCTTTATTCGTTGTGTGAATTACACAAGCGTTGGAAACCGCAGACGGTGTCGTGTTCGGGTTCATGAGGTCAGCGACTCCATGGAAGCGCGTCTGGATGACCGCGGCGTGCAGGCTGCTTCAGGCGGACCAGCAGCCGGTCCGATGACCTGCTGTGTGTCTGTTACACACAAACTGACCTACAGTCTGTGTGTCTAGCTGTTTAATAACGCGTCTTCACGCTGTGGCAGCAGGGCGGCGGTGATGACGAGCGGAGCGTCTGATTGGCTTTCGCCAGACAAAGAGCGATTTACACGCGCCGGCCGTTTAAAATTGGCCTCCTTGTCGCGTCTGTGCGTTGACTTTACGTGGAATCACTGCTGCTCTCCGATTGGTCGACTGCGCATCACTTCATTCATAAAACCAGGAAGGACTAATAAATGACCTCATCATGACAGACGCCGTCAGTAACCAATCACACAAATGCAGGATATGAACCTCAACCCCCCGTGGTGTGTTTTGCAGGTGTGACCTATGCTGCCTGTCCTTCCGGACTCACCGGGGGATGTTGCGTCACAACGCGGCGGTGCACGACCTCCTCCCCCAGGACCCGAGCGGGCGCCCCTTCATCCAGAGCAACCCCTCCATCCCCACCGGCTTCAACGACCTGGCCTTCATCGACTTCTCCTGCAAGAAGTTCGCTCACATCGCACAGGTACCGCTCGCACAGCGCCGCGCACCCTCCAACCACGGCGTGGGGGTTTTAGGGGCGGAGCTAAAGCTCTTCCTCCGCCCCTCCTGCAGGTGTGGTGTGAGACGAACCTCCGTCGCTGCATCAGCAAGTTCCACCGGTTTGTCTGCGACTGCTGCGACCGAGCCTTCCCCCTCCGCTCAGCGCTGGACCTCCACAAGAGCACCTCCCACTCCGCCGCCATCACGCAGCAGGAGGACGGGGTCAAAGGGCAGGAGGAGGAGGGCGGAGCTGCAGAACACACCGTCGACAGTCTGCGTGTCAAGGAAGGAGTCCCGCCCCCACAGCAGGACCACTTCCTGGGGGCGCTCGGCCTCAGCCACGTTTCTAAGGTTTCTGTGGTCTTAATTTTCAAAATAAAAGCGTGCTGCTCCTCTGTGGACATGAGAAGGAACCGTTCTTCGATCCGCGCGTTCTCCTCTCATGGCGCCACGTTTGTTTCCTCAGGTGAAGTCTGGGCCCACGGACGACGAGATCCACCAGGCGCACCTGGACAGCATCAAGGTGATCCACGTGGAGCCGCCCTCCTCCAGCCTGCCCCAGGAGCCCGCCTCCGCCTACCTGACGGGGGGCCTGACCCTGGGAGGCCTGGCGGGCCCCGCCTCCGCCCTGCAGGGCCTCTCGCAGATGGACGCCATGAGCCTGCTCTCCCTGCAGCCCTTCCAGACGGGCTTCCTGCTGCACCCCGACGGCGGCGGTGCCGCGACCACCGCCTCGTCCGGGTTCAAGCCCGGGGAGGTGGGCGGGGCCATGGAGCTGGCCAACATCCAGCAGATCCTCAACGTGGCGAGCGCGGCGCAGAGTCAGATGGGGCTGACGCTGCCGCCTCTGGCCAAAGCCCCCGGGTTCCCCGGAGGTCAAGGTGGGTGTCGACCTGGAAGCTGCCAATCATTCCGTTGGCCAATCGATTTGACGTTTGGTTGTTTTTCCTCCAGGTCAAGCCCAGGGTCAGAAGTCAATGCCCCCGTTGAAGCCTAAACCCCCCATCACGCCTCGCTGCAGCCTCACGGCGACGACGCCCCCCCCGCTCCAGAGCTCCCAGCAGGCCTCACTGGGCTGCATCAGCCCCAGCCTGCCGCCCCCCAACCCGGCCCTCTTCAAAACGCCGTCCTCCTCCTCCTCCTCCTCCTCTTCCTCTTCTTCGGCCGGGACCGGAGGGCAGCTGGATGCGGAGTGCGACTCGCCGCCAGACTCCACCCCGGCGGTGCACGAGGAGGCGGGGCTTAGTGGGAGAAAGCCAGGCACCAAGGGGGGCGGCAACGCCGGCTCGGCCAAAGGCCTGTTCCCCTGCCGGTTCTGCGACCAGGTGTTCTCCTTCTCCGGCGTGCTGCAGGCGCACATGCGCTTCCACCTCGGCATCCTGCCGCACCAGTGCAACATCTGCGACTACGTGGCGCCCGACAAAGCCACGCTGATCCGGCATCTGCGGACGCACAGCGGCGAGCGGCCCTACGTCTGCCGCGTGTGCCACTACCCCTTCACCGTGAAGGCCAACTGCGAGCGCCACCTCAGGAAGAAGCACGCCAAGACCTCCAGGAAGGAGATCGAGAAGAACATCAAGTACATCACCTCCACCATCACGGCCAACCTCGCCGCCACCACCCAGGACACGGAGACGGGCTGCGCCGGGGCCGAGACCACGTGCCGGTTCTGCGGCGAGGACCTGAAGAACTACCGGGCGCTGCAGATCCACCTGCGCACGCACAACGGCTGCCAGCGGAAGCCCTTCGAGTGCCGGCGCTGCGGCGCCGCTTTCCTGGCCAAGCGCAATTGCATCCACCACCTGCTGAAGCAGCACCCCGAGGTGCAGGAGCGGGAGATCGAGGACCACATCGCCACGCTGCTGCCCGCCGGCGCCGCCTCTGCCCGGGCGGCTCCGGCCAGTCAGACCAACGGGATCGGTCAGGCGCTGCACGCCGTGAAGCTGGAGGAGCTGGCCAACGCCGTCTACGCAGCCGAGCCGGACCAGCCGCTGGACTTCTCCGCTAAGGGGCGCGGCGGAGGCGGCGCCGGGACTTCCGCTAGCGGCAGCAGCGGCGGGTGCAGCCTGCCGGGGTCACCCGGGGTCAAACTGGAGAGCGTCTCGCCGAGCTTCGACAGCTGCGCGCCGGACCAGCCCATCGACCTGTCGGTGCCCAGCAGGAGGCCCAGGAGGGAGATCAAGGTGGAGCCCAGCGTGGAGCAGCAGGCTCTCGCTCCGTCCAAGGAGGACGCGGCGGCGCTGCCTCCGCTGCACCCCCACCCCCAGCTGGGCTGCTACCAGCTCCCGCCGGGATCCACCCCTCCCCCGGCCTCCCTCGCCAGCTCCACCCGGGCTGCACGCCTCAAACCGCTGCTGCCCAAGCCGGCCTCCACCTCGCCCGCCGCCCTCAAGGAGCTCCCCCCACTGGCCTCCATCGCTCAGATCATCAGCTCCGTGTCCGGGGCGCCGGACCTACTGAAGAGGGAGGAGCCAAAACCGCCGGTCATCGCTTCCTGTCCGGCCAGCGCGGCCGCCGAGGCTCCGGAGACGCCGGCGGCCGCGGAGACGCAGAGCGAGGAGACGCCGGAGGGACCGGCCAGGTCTGAGAGCGCCACCAATGATCCTAATCAATCACTTTTTAAAATGATTCTAAATAATACAAATCAACACAATATTTAAAAAATGAAACTGTTTTTATAGTTTGAATCTTTCATTAATTGATATTAACTCTATATATTTGCTTAGAATCAGAAACATTCATTCTAAGTGAGTTTTCTTTAGTCTCTTTAGAAGCCCTCTACAAATATATCAATTAAAACAATATTGATTTCTTTTTCTTTTCTTTTCGTTGATCTGAAACAAATAAAATCAGTTATGAACTATAAAATAAGTAGAATGTAACAATGAACAAAGGTTCTTTCGGTAAACGCTTCCTGGTTCTACCACCGGGGGCGCCGCAGCACCACGAGTAAGACGCGCCTTGTTCCTCCTCTCGCCCGGCAGGAAGCGGTCCAGGAAGAAGGCGCCCGTGAAGGAGAAGGCCGTCGCCATCGATCTGGAGTCCAGCGGCGAGTTCGCCAGCGTGGAGAAGATGCTCGCCACCACCGACGCCAACAAGTTCAGCACCTACCTGCAGAGCGGCGCCGCGGAGCTGGGGGGCCGGCGAGGTGAGGGGGGTCCCTTCAGAATAAGAGCTGTTAGAATCCACGAAACACTGAGGAAAGGTTCAGCTTCAGTGCTTCCTTTACTAGCTCCCTCAGCATAGGAAACATCGGACCTTCCTTGACGAAAGGAAAGGAAACACCACGGCTGTCGTTTCCTAGCTCCTTGTGAACTCTCCTTCACACTTCTCCTTGACCCTGTGGCGTTTTCGACAGAGATTGAGGAGAAGTGAGGAGCATTAGGGGGTTGTTTTGAACCTCCTTTCTCCCTGTGCACAGTCGTAGACCGACCCGGAGGAGGCGAGGAGGAGAAGGAGGGAGGAGCCAGGGAGGAGGTGAAGCCGGCCTCCGTGGGGCCGCAGTCCAAAGGGAAGAAGAACGCGTACTCCAACTCGGTGCAGAAGATGACCTGCCCCTTCTGCCCCCGCGTGTTCCCCTGGGCCAGCTCGCTGCAGAGACACATGCTGACGCACACGGGTAAGCACACGCACACGCACACGCACTATTCAAACCGCTTCAGATCCTTTCACTTAAAACAAGAAAACCTAAAAAAACAGAGTAGAAGTTGTGCATCAGATTCATCAGGTGACCCTCTGGAGGGCCCCAGCCCTTATGTTGGGAACCACCGGACTCATCAAAGCGCCTATCAAGTAGTTCAGCCGCCTCGGCAGTAACGCGTGTGCATCAGACCGAGAGCTTCTTGCATCACTTTAACACCCGTTTGTAAATAATGACCTCTGACTTCATCCCGAAAAGCCCCCAGGAAGTTTATTTTCAAAATAAAAGCGTCCCATCGCTCCTCAGGTCAGAAACCGTTCCCGTGTCCCAAGTGCGACGCCTTCTTCTCCACCAAATCCAACTGTGAGCGCCACCTGCTGAGGAAGCACGGCGTGACGCACCGCACGCTGCGGCGCAACGGCGCCCTCGGCAAGAAGGACGGGGACGAGGGGTCGCACGAGAGCGCAGGTGAATAACATTAGATGTTATCAGTCACCCGTCAGCGAAAGGGTATCTTTCTTCCGTTATGATAATAGTAATTGAGGCGATGCTAAACGATGAATCATTCCCGTTGGAAACATCCGATGAATCCGCCTGGTTTGATTCGTCCCGCTGATCGATAATTGCTGGTTTTAATTCAGAGAGCCAGTCGGAAACGGAGCAGATGGCTCCAGAAGCTCAAGACCTCAGCAGCGTGAACACCTCCACAGACTCAGGCTCCGCCCCCACGCCGGAGAGCCCCGCCCCCTCAGACCAACAGGAGGGGGATTCGGCGCAGTCGAGCCCCGCCCACAAAGCCAGCCGCAGTGAGTCCGTCCAAATAAAAAGAGGAATAACCGATTGGTTCTGATTAATAAGAGTGAATCTGAAATGTTAACAAGTTTAGCAAGAAAATAGTCGAATAGCCGATGAGCACAAAGCAGAGGTGTTAAAGTTACTTCAGTAAACATTTAGAGTATTTCTACTTTACTGGAGTGTTTTTCTGATGACTTTGTACTTTCTGCTCCTTACATTTTAAAAACAGACTCGTTTCATTCGTCGTTCAGAACCAGCAGATAAGAGAAATCTAAACATTTAGCGTTCAGACAGCGACATGCAGATCTCATGTACCGTGATGAACGGGACGCGGCGCTGGAATAACGTGACGTGTGTCTTAATGCGGCTACAAAGGAACACAGAGGGATTCTGTATTTGCTCATAAGGATGTTTTGATAAGTTATAACCACCATAATAAGACGGGTGCCCCCCCCCACATTGTTTTCCCCTTACTTTACTTTTACTTTGATACTTAAGTTTTAAAACCAGTACTTTTATAATTTTACTTTAGTATAAAGCTTAGTATTTTAACCCCGAGTATCTATACTTCTGCTTGAGTAATGTGAAGACATTTGACATCTCTGGCATTTAAACTCCGGCTTCCTGTATTTTAGTTTACTTTTAGGACGTTTACTGCTATTGGACATTTAGGCTCTGAAAGACGCATGTACGGTGTTAAACATGTTAAACGTTGAGTAACACCAGTCAGGTCCCACATGTGTCTTTGTTCTACTAGTTTACTACTGAGATGTTCCGCTCTGCAGGTTGCAGCCCGAGTGCAGAGCAGCTGGAGTCGGACGCCACGGAGCAGCAGGGGGCGCCAGAGGCCGGAGGGTCACCTGGAGCGCAGCCTCCACAGAGCAGCAAGGTACCGCAGACGTCTATGAGGACACGACTTATTCCCTCAGTAAACACCAGGGTCGTCATAATAACGTAACCCGCACTCTGCGTCCCGCTTCTCTCTCCTCAGGTGGATAACGCCGCCGCCGCCGCCGCCGCCGCCGCCGCCGACGACGATGACGATTGCCATAGCAACAAGAGTCTGGACCTGAACTTCGGCAAAAAGCTTATCGACTTCAAGCTCTCCGCGTCCTCGGGGCCGGCTCAGGAGGAGCAAGCCCCCCAACCGGCGCCCTCCTCCTCCTCAGAGAGCCAGGAGAAGGAGAAAGGAGCCTCCTCCTCCTCCTCCTCCTCGCTGTCCGGCAGCCCGGCGTTGAAACAGCAGCCGGAGTACAAACACGTGTGTCGCGTGTGCAGGAAGAGTTTCCGCTACGCCACCACGCTCGCTCGTCACGAGAGGGCGCACCTCTCCGAGGAGACGCCGCAGGAGGAGAACTCGCCGGGCAAAGAGGAGTCGACGGAGGGCGATGCCGGCCAACCGGCGGAGGAGAAAGAGGAGCTGGAAGACGCAGGAGGCGAGAGCGAAGGAGGGGAGAGCGGGGAGTCTGAGGAGGAAGAGGACGAAGAGGAGGAGGAGGAGGAAGAGAAGAAGGGGGAGGAGAGGAGCGACGAGGAGGCGTCGGAACCAAAGAGTTTAGAAGGAGGAGAGGCATCGGGGAGGCGGCTGGACAAGAGAAAGAAGATTTGTAACGTCTGTGGAAAAAGATTCTGGTCTCTGCAGGATTTAACCAGACACATGAGGTCGCACACAGGTACTTATATATATTATATATGTTATATAAATTATATTATATTATATATGTTATATAAATTATATTATATTATATATGTTATATAAATTATATTATATATATGTTATATAAATTATATTATATATATTATATAAATTATATTATATAAATATTATATTATATAAATTATATTATATATATTTCTTAAAGCGTTTATTTCAGTACAGATACGTTTGTTCATATCAGTGTTTTACAATTTTATTAATTTTATTTTATTAAGTTTTTAATCATTTCTTTATTATTCGTCCCTCTCAAATAACACAGGTGAGCGGCCCTACAAGTGTCAGACCTGCGAGCGGACCTTCACCCTGAAGCACAGTCTGGTCCGGCACCAGAGGATCCACCTGAAGCCGCGCGGCGCCGACGGAGCCTCGGCCGCCGCGGACGACGCCAGCGAGGACGGAGACTCCTGCGCGCCGACCCCGCCCTCCACCTGCCCGCCCTCGGAGAATGAGAGCGAGTGTGGTAGCGGCGTCGCCGCCATCAAGGGGCTGGAGGGGGGGGAGGATGAGGAGGAGGAGGAGGAGGACGAGGAAGAAAACCCAGAAAAACAAGCCGGGGCAGATTCAGAGCCGCCAGCAAGCGAGACGTCTGAGGAGCGGCCGCCCCCCCCCGCCGACCCGACCCCCGGCCAACAAGCTACTGACACAAAGACAACTACTACGCCCGACTCCGTCTCCAAAGACCCCCCCTGCCCCGCCCACTCGTCCTCCTCCAGCCCTCCTCCACGGGACCTCATCCAGGGGCTACTGGAGATCCACGCCAAGCCCCCCCTCCCGGAGCCCGCCCTGCCCAACGTAGAGCCTCCTCTGGTGGGGGCGGACTGAGGGACCCCCGCCCCCCAAAACCCAACAATATCTATTTGGGGAGAAGGGCCTCACCCCCGGGAAGACGGGAGTAGGAGAGATTCCTTTTTAAAAAGTCCTTTATTTTTCCCCCCCCCCCCCCCCCCCCCCGGGGGGCGGATTCTTTTTAGCTTTTTACCAACAACACGATTTGCATTATTTCTTTTCCCGTGCGCGGTAATGTATAATAAAATAAAAAGTATAAAGTTATGATTTACTGTTTTGTTTGAGGATTGATGATCAACGTCAGAGTTTATTTCTTGTGTAATTGAATCGCGGCGCCGTCTCTTCACATTTGACGGCAGACTAATGAGTGATTGGGTGGGCTTTTGTTTTTTGTCCGCGACCCACCAGACGTATCGAGACATTTTTTTTTGCATAAAATCGAACTGGTCTTGAGCCAGTTCCACCAGCAATGACCCCCCCCCCCCCCCGGGGGGCTGTGTGATACGACAAAGGAAGCTTTTTTTGTAACTGGAAGAAACTCACAACCACCACCAGAAAACGTGTCCACGGACTTGTCCAAGTGGCATCTTTGTGAGAACCCTGGAGGGGGGGTTGGGTTGGGGGGGGGGGGCAGTTAGAGAGTGTTGATCAGTTTGTGTTGTCGCCATGTTGTTTCTTTTTTAATCGATCACACTTTTGATGCCTTCACCCCGTCAGTGCGTGTCGATCTCATTCATAATCATTCTCAGTTGCAGAGACGTGAACATTTGGCTACGACGAGTATTTTGTGTTCGATTATCAGTGATATTTAGGTGTAGGGAGGGGAATTCTTTTTTTGTGGATATTTTCTTTAACTGAACAAATCCATTTTCTGTGTGTGTGTGTGTGTGTGTGTGTGTGTGTGTGTGTGAGAGAGAGACTTCCACCTGTCTCCTATCATCGCCCCTAGTGTTCATTAAGGTTTATTACAGGGCCTCAAAGAGTGCTAACGTCTTTCCGCGGCTATCACTTTAGCCAGGTTCAGTTTACCTCAACTTCTGCTTAACTGCAACCATTAAAGGACCAGCTTGTCTGGTTATTTTAAGTCGTACGTCTTCCTGTGTGGGGCTAGCCATAGCTCATTTCCTGCTAGCCCCATTTCCACAATGAGAGCGGAATTAGAGCCAGCCGGGGCTAAACTCCCTGGTTTCGCTTCACACACAGCTAGCCAAAGCTAACTAAGCAGCT